AGTCAATATGGTGGTTAGGCTCATCTAAGCAACCAAGAGGAGGCTGAGACTGAGGCTGGGGCGGGGGGGTGGGAGGCTATAAGGCCAGGGTAGGGAGGAAAGGGTGGTGGCTATAAAGATGTTACAATCTGTTGTAACCTAATCTTGGAAGCAAGCAATATCCCATCTCTTTTGTCATTATTACCTAGAAGCAAATCACCTGGTCCAGACCACTGTCAGGGTCTGATACAGCTCCCAAAGCCCCCCCACCTCCTGTTATTCATGCTGCAAGTAATCCCCTTCCCCTCAATGTGGACTAGACCTAGTGACCTCTTTATCTCCAGTCAGGAGATACAAACCATACAGGGGAAGTTTCATACAAAGAATTATTAAGATCTAGTAAGTGACCATAAAATAAAAGGAAATGCCATATGCTACCCTGTGTGGCTTAGAGAAATTCCACATGGCTCCCTTCCCTACTTGGAAAGAGCCCCCCCTTACCAAGACCATAGTTCAGACCTCAGCACGGAAGGTGAAGTTCAGCCCGCTGCACAGCAAAGAAGTTTGCTGGTCTGCTCAGGCTGGTACTGGTTGCTAGCCAGCAGAAAGCAAGTCTCTGGACCGCAACTGACCTACCCAGGAATCTGTGGAGGTAGTTGACACCACCACAGACAGGAAGACCTTAAGTGACCATGCAGGCAGGAGGTCTTCACGGCACCAGTTTTCACGTTGACAAGGCATGGGAAGACCATTGCTAGACCCAGTGAGCGTGTGTGTGTGTGTGTGTGTGTGTGTGTGTGTATACAGTACAGTATATCCAACTGGTGTTATCTCAGGAACGTAAAGTTTGTTTAGCGTATGAAAATCAATCAGTGTAATCTACCATATTAACAGAATAAAGGTTTTATCTCTTATTATCTCAAAATTCAATGGAGCTCCATTCTGATTGGCTTACAGAGATTAAAAAATATATGAAATAAGAGAAACTCGAGTATTTCTTTTTTAAAAAATTTTTTTAGTGTTTATTTATTTTTGAGAGAGAAAGACACAGAGTATGAGCAGGGGAGGGGCAGAGAGTGCAGGAGACACAGAATCTGAAGCAGGCTCCAAGCCCTGAGCTGAGCTGAAGCTGGATGCTTAACCGACTGAGCCACCCAGGCACCCCAAAACTCAAATATTTCTTTAAAAAACCTGTGCTCCTTACATTTTAAGTGTGTGAGCTATTTAAAGAAAAATAGTTACTAAATCTATGAAAGGAAAGAGGTTTTCTGGTTTTTCTCAGATGCCTCAATCAAAACTTTAAAAAGAAATTTAGGGGTGCCTGGGTGGCACTCTTGATTTCGGCTCAGGTTCATGATCTCATGGTTTGTGAGTTTAAGCCCCGCATTGGGCTCTCCACTGTCATCATGGAGTCTGCTTGGGATTATCTTTCCCTCTTTCTCTGTTCCTTTCCTGCTCACCTTCTCTCAAATAAATATTTTAAAAAAGAAAGAAAATTGCTCCCAACATCTAAAGAAAATTTCAGTTAACAAAATTAAAGCCCACACTAAAGATAACACTTTTAAAACTTAAAGAGACATGTATCTAAATATAACGAATTATCATTGATTGTATATTTATTCTTACAAAAAAAGCCTGTTTAATTTTGAAATAAGAAAGACACTCAATTGCCACAAATTGGCCGTGCACACCCAATAAAGAGGGAAGGAAGGAAAAGAGGGAGGGAGGGAGAGAGAGAGGTGGGGAGGAGAGAGAGAAAAGAAAAAGAGAAAGGAAATTAAAGAAACAATCCTTATACTGCCTAATGTCACCCCAAACCATCTGTAGACCTTTAATACTTCTATAAGAAAAAAATCCAGTGACAGGGACAAATTTGTCCTAAATCTGCAAAAATATTGATGAGAAACTCAGTGGAAGACCAAATCCTGTCTTACCTCTGTCATAATCTGGAAAAACTATAAGGGTAGAGCAAGCCTTGAAACCCATGCCTCAAGGCATTTAAGCATTTTTATATGAATTTTATTCAGTTACTTCAAAACTTCAAATATGTTTAACAATAGTTTATAAATCTTTTGGTTAGATCAAGATTTTCCCTTGAAAAAAGGCAAATGAATCTGGGTGGCTCAGTAGGTTGCGCGTCTGACTCTTGATTTCTGCTCAGGTCATGATCCCAGGGTCATGGGATCGAGCCCCTTGTCAGGCTCTGTGCGGAGTGTGGAGCCTGCTTAAGATTCTCTCTCTCTCTCTCTCTCTCTCTCTCTCTCTATCCCTCCACCCTTCTCCCCTGCTTGCATGGTCTCTCTCTCTTTAAAAAAAAAAATACAAGTGCTTTAACAGTCACAAAACAGCTATGGATTTAGGTTTTCCCACAGATCTTACAAGTAAAATCCTTTAAGAACTGTAAATTATACATGGTACTCCCATTAAACAGAAATGTCATAATACACACCATCTCCAAATTCTGCTAAGTGCAGCAGTCCTGTTGAATATCATTAGGCAACTAAGTCATAAATACAATCATATTCGTGACAGATGCAAACAATATTCCCAGCGAGGAAACCACTAGATACAACCTCCATCATATAAAAACAGGAGAGTGAATATATTAAAATATTAAAAGAGACATCAATGGAAATCAGTCTTAAAACTCCACCAGAAAGGGGGTGTCTGGGTGGCTCAGTTGACTGAGTGTCTGACTTCAGCTCAGGTCATGACCTTGAGTTCATGGGTTTGAGCCCCGCATTGGGCTCTGTGCTGGCAGCTCAGAGCCTGGAGCCTGCTTTGGATTCTGTGTCTCCCTCTCTCTCTGCCCCTCCCCTGTCTCTGTCTCTCAAAAAATAAAATGTTAAAAAAAAAAGTTTAAGGAAAAAAAAACCGGCACCAGAAAGGGCAATTTCAGGTAGTATTAACTACAAAAAAATTATTCTTAAACTCTAGAACATACACATATAAACATATCTAAAAAGTCTCCCACTCCTGACTTGCTTCTGTCTCTCCAAAATAACTATTTTGTTTCTTGTGTATTCTTTAATGCTTTTATTTATGCATATATAAGCAAATAACATTATTTGTCCTTATTGTTTATGCAAAACGCAAGACACTAATACATAATGTTCTCCACCTTTTATTTTTTTTAATGAAATACTATGTTCATGCAAGTATATCTGTAGGATGGACTTCCAGGAGTGGAGTTGCTGGACTAAAGGTATATATTTTTGCAATACTGACATATTTCTCATCTATAAGAGTCGTATCAATTTACGCCTCACCAGTGATGCATTCCCTACAGTCTTGCTGTTATCAAAGTTTCTGATATTTAACTATCTAGTGGAAAATGGTATCTAAGAGGATTTTTTTTTTTTTGGATGAGAACCAGGAAAGCATATTAGCACACTGTAGAAAGAAAGTTTGAATATGCAGGCGAGACAGAGAGGTGGTAATTAATTCCAAGAACAGAGTCCTTTGCTGTTGGGAGCCATTCTGAGCCCACTAGTCGAGAAAACTCCTGGTGAGGTTAAAGCAAGTTTGCACGGTCTCTTGCCAATCAGATGATGACCGATATCCACCCCCACTCAATTATTTCTGCTTGAGCACTGACCCCTAAGGTACCTTGTTGATCAATATCAGGAGTGACTTGTCCCCTTATTCCGGCCCTGGTGTGATGATTGCACCTTGTGAAGGAACTTATTGTGGGAACTTCTTCTTTTGATTATGGGAACAGACATCGTGTCTCCAGCAGCTCCTGTTTCCCCTCCATACTTTCCCGTGAGCTATGAACAGGCTAATGACCTCTAGTCATAAAAGATTGACCTTTACATGTACAATTCTGTTTCTACCGTTGCATTAGTCCAAGATGTTCATACAGTTCAACATGTAAATCAACTAACCAAAAATGTCTCTCACGCCCTAGCTATTCTAGAAATCATAAAAGTAGACACAAAGGTAAATGCACTCAAAGAGGCTATTATTCTATGTATTGGAAATAAGCTAAACTCTTTAAAGGTATGGTTGGCTCTCTGGTGCCATAAAGCATATAACTGGAAAACCAAGTCTTGCCCGGAGACAAAGAGCCTAACTTAGAGAGAAGGAACAGATAAGGGCAGAAGATAAGTTAGTACATACACCTTTGCTAACTGATGGTGTATAGTAGCCCCTTCCCTAAGGCCTACTTTCCACAAACATCTTCCCTTACCCTGGCAGCTGTGATGAGGATGGATAAGAGTATCTACAAACCTACGACTTAATCTTAGTGTTATTATAATGTGAACACCTTGTTATTTTCTTAGTTACACAACTTCACTATAATTGGGGCTGTTCTGCAAGAAGACTTCTGTAAAACCTGTTTCTGTACATTTTCCAAAAACACCTTATCACAAAGAGCTATCCATTGTAAACATTCCATTTCCTGATGCCATGTTAACTTTTGACCTATAAATAAAGACACCAAAACCGACAGGACAGAGATGCCTGCCTGGTGATCAGAAAGGATCTCGGGGCCTCTCACTCTCTTTCGCCGACACCGTCCATCCTTCAGGGACCCCTGGACCTGTCGAAGCCGGCGCGGCCTCTGACACTTTGCTAGGCTGGAGGAACAGGATCCACATGGAATAGGTATAGATGCAAGAGTTGTCAGTACATTTTGACGGTGGACTCGAGTGCAAGTCTCTTTTCATTTCTTCTGTTTTTCAGGCAAAGTAACAATCAAGGTCATAAACTGAGCCAGGAGAGGGGAGAGAGTGTTGCATATTAGAGGGGAGAGAGTGTTGCATATTTGAGGAAAGAGATGTGAATTTCTTCTCTTAATGAGAAGGAGGGTAACCTGCCCAGGGAAACAAGGATCTCTGCAGCACTGAGGATTACAGTCTTCAATTTAAAGTGAATTTTGAAGGACAAAGGATCATCCATGGATAAAGAAGGTCCTTGCTTCAGGGAGATGTCAAGAAAACAATATTAAAAGTGAAGCATCCATCTAGCATTCATTTAACAGATATTTACAGGGAATGGGCCGTGCAGAGGTTCTACTGCTGGGTGCTGGCTTGTCTCTTAAAGCAGATCACAAGCATCTTCCAGCTGGTTGGCTGTTCATACAGATCTGATGAAGGTATGATTATTCTCTCTGCAAACAAAAATACAAAAAGTTACCATAGGATGTCCGCAGGATGATTTTTCCTAAATTTGGAGAGGAGAGTTCTTAGTCTTGACAGTCTAAACAAACGGCTTCTCAGAAAAATGGGCGCATGTAACTAATTTGCAGATCATTTCAGGTGGTTGTAGAACCACAAGTTGAGAATCTCTCCGTCAAATTAGGAGTCCTATTGTTTTAGGATGTTTTGAATGATTCAATTTGCACAAAGCTTTCTACTTTATGGTTGTGTACTGGACACCTTAAGACGGACTCAGAAATTGAAATCATTTTAGGTTTTTAAAAAAGTTGCAAGAGTAGCATAGAGTTCCCCTGTATTCTTCGCCCTGAATACTCATAGGTTAACATCTTACATAACCATAGGACAATCAGTTGTCCCTTTTGTGTCCTTTTTCTGTTCCAGGATCCATTTCAGGAATTCACATAGCGTTGTCATGGACCTGGCTTTTTTTTTTTTTTTTTTTTTCTTTCAAATAATGCAAGTTCTCTGTGTTTTGGGGCAAATTAATGTCTGAGTCTGTCTTAAGAGTCGCGATGTGATTAAGAACCAATAAGCACGTGTGAAATGGTTTCAGAAACTTCAAAGATAACTAAAACTTTTCTTAGTACTCAAAACTAGGTATATTCAGTGTAGCTTGCCGTTTAAAGTAAAACAAAGTAAACTGAATTGTATTATCGTCGTCGAGGTGTTTTGTCCCAAAGGAAGCCCCGTAGCTTTTCCTTCAGCCACCAGAGGAGGCCTTTCCCAATTGGGCAGCGTGTCTGCGCGAACGCAGGAAGGCGGCCTCATTGGTCCGCGCAGTCGGGACTCCAGCGGCTTTTCTCTTGGAGCTCAAGGCGCCGACCCACTTCTCTTCCTTCAACCGAGCGCTCCTTCTTCGGAGTTCCGGGAGCTGCGTGCCCGAAGGGATCCAGACTCAACTAGGCCGGGTAATCGCACTGAGGTCAGTCGGGGAGAAGCGGCGGGCATGGAATAACGTGTGGGAGATGGCGGAAAGCCGGTGGCCGATGATGTCTGCGCGCCCCTCCCGACCCCCAGAGCTCTGCAATTCCCTGCCCCGCCTCCTCTTCTGGCCCCACCTCCATCAGCCCCCCCCCGCCCCAAGGTTCCCCGCGCCCCTCCGCAGCCCCTCCGCAGCCCTTCCGCAGGCCCCACCCCTCCGCGAGCCCTTCCGCTTTTCCCAGCCCCGCTCCTCTCCGCGGAGGCCCCGCCTTCCTCGCGCACTTCCCTGGCCCCGCCCCCTCCGGGAGCCTCCCCACTGGCTCGCCCTAGCCCCATCCTCCTCAGAGGCCCCGCCCCCGCCGGACACATCCCTGCCTGGTTTTCCTGCGGGTCCTGCACCGCCGGCGCCTCCATGCCTCTTGTTTAGTTCTTAGGCACCCCCACCCCCGCCACGTACCTGCGCGTTTCTCTCAATAAACCCTGCGGTCTCTTCTGCGGTCCTTCTTCTGCGGTCTCTCATTCCCGTACGATCCAAGCTGTCTCCGCAAGTGCTTAGTGAATGGTGCGGAGACCTCGTGCTGGGCCTTGGAGGTCCCTGCTTTCAAGACCCCGCTGCCGGGTGGGAGAGCCACTTTGTAACGGGGTTCAACAGTCCTGGTGCTAAGTCTTTAGGGAAGGAAGCATAGTATTGCGATACTTAGAGGGAAGACTAGGGCTGTCCCTCTCTCTCTCTGCTGGAAGTGCAAGCTGGCCTGTGAGGGGCCGAGCCTCACCTCTCTCTCCAGATGCCCCTGGCTGCTTCTAATGCAGTCTCCTGGTTCCAGCCATTGCCCTTTAAACTCTTGGGAATTAGTGACCTCTTGTCTCGGGCCCTTCTTTTAACTAAAGTTGGTAGGGCTTTCAGAGCCCGTCTCCCCACTGGGGAAGTTGAGGGCAAGAGACAGATGAGTGATTGACTTGGACAGTGACTCAGCATCTTGCTCTTGATGCTGCTGTTTGGAGTTTTTTTCTGAGGACTCTTACGCAACTTTCAATGACCCAGCAGTCTTAGTTGGTACGAAAACCTAAAAGTATGTGTAGGTAAAACCTCCAGTCAGTAAGTAGATTCCTTCTAGACACACTAGTACAGGGTATGGTTTACAGAAGACAGTGAGTCACACCTTCAGTCTGTCTGGAGTCACGCATCCTGGGGTTTGATCCCAGCTCCACCATTTGCTGTGAAGTTTGGCCAAGAAGCTTCTCTTATCTGGGCTTCAGTTTTACCTTCTACAAAAAAAGCACGATTAACCCTGTTACCAGGGTTATGGTGTGGATTTGTTGAGATCCTTTTTATGAAAACGTCACTTTTGGGGTCCTGTAAATAGCAGGATCTCCACATAAGTGAGCCCCTAGTTGTCTAATTCACGTCTGTCTGGTTCATGTCAGCAAAAAGCCCGATACGTTGCTTCTCTCAGGCACCATGACGACCCTGGATGATAAACTGCTGGGCGAGAAGCTCCAGTACTATTACAGTAGCAGTGAGGATGAGGACAGCGACCACGAAGACAAGGACAGAGGCAGGGGCGCTCTGGCCGGCAGTTCGATGCCTGCAGATGCTGAGTTGGCAGGCGAAGGCATCTCAGTCAACACAGGTACCGGAAATCCCTGAGCTGCGGGAACAGGTTTTAAAAAAGTGCCCATTAAATATCTATCTGTTAGAAGTCAACTGATCATTGCTCTCTAATCCCAGCCCCACTTCCAGAGATAACCTTGTGTTGGCATTTCCCTGTGTGTGCTCTGGCCATCTCCGTGCACAGGGCAGACTGGTGTGCATGGCGTACACAGACCAAACACACACAGGGAACACAGACTGACCTGCTTTTGAATCTGGCTTCTCAAATGAATAGTTGTTTGATGTCACTTGAGTCATACGTATGTGTATATTGGTAGTGTAAATTCCTAGAAATAGCATATTTATACTTTTACATTTTAATATTTCAAATTGCTGTCAGTTTAGGTGGCAGTGGTTTATATATAACCAGCAGTGTGGGTTTTTTTACCCATAGACTTGCACTCCTACTGTGTTATCAGATTTTGTGATCTCTGCATCTCTGCCGTCCTCAATGCATGACAAATGGTAACTCACTGTAGTTTTGTTTTCTACCTTTCCAAGAGGGACATTGAGCCTCTTTTATAACTTTACAAAAATTTTGAAAAAATGGTTATTCATTTTTGAGAGAGGGAGACACACACACACACACACACACACACACACACTCACTCACTCACTCACTCACTCACTCCAAAGGAGACTCCAGACTCTGAGCTGGTCAGCACAGAGCCCGAGGCAGGGCCCAAACTCATGAACTATGAGATGGTGACCTGAGCTGAAGTTAGACGCCTAATCGACTGAGCGACCCAGGCGCCCCGTCTTTTATAACTTTAAGAGAGAGTTTCATATCCTTTGCTCATTCTTAAAATTTGGTGGTTGGTCTTTTTCTTTTTAGGGAGCTTTATATTAAGGAAACTAAATAAAGTCTTGACTTTATATCATATAAATTAATTATTAATATTTATATATAATTATAATTATATAATTTATAAAATATATAAATTTATAAAATATATAGAATTATAAAACTATAATATAATTATATATAATTATATTATATTGTCTTGACTTTGTGTTCTTTTCCAGGCAGAAAGTTTTTATGTACTTGAAGGCATTATATATTATATATTATGGTTTCTTTGGTTTCTTAATTTTGTTTCTTACTGAAAAAGTCTTTTTTCCCTCCAGAATTATAAACAGATTCTCCCGTGCTTTTTTTAGTATTTTTATTATTTTTTTAATACTTAAATTTTGATTCATCTGGAATTCATTTTGGTGCAAAGTTTGCGGTAGGGCTCCACCTTAGTATTTTTCATATTTTAACCACTGTTTCAACGCCATTTATCAAATAAGCTATCTTTTCTCCATTGCTTTGAAATGTCAGTTTTACCATGTATTGAATTTCTGTTGATATTTTTTATCTTTAGCTCTAGTTTATAGTGTCTTTCATTGATTTGCCTTTTATTGTGCTATATCACACTGTTTTTAATTACTGTGTTACATGCTTCAGTATCTAATGGGGCTGTTTCCCTTCAGTACTCTTCCATGTCATCATTTTCCCCCCAATTTTTTTTAAGTAGTCTCTACCCCCAGCATGGGGTTTGATCTCCGAGACTGGGAATTGCATGCTTTACTGACTAAACCAGACAGGCACCCCTCAACTTTTGCTTTCTTATTTTTCCAAAGCAAATTTAGGAACTTGTACATATGGGACCCCATTAAACATATAGATTGTTTTGGGGGGTTATTGGCACCCTTGTGATGTTGGGTCTTCCGAGTCAGGAGTATGGTATTGCTTTTCCATTTAATCAGGTCCTTCTTAGTGTTTCTTGGTAGCATTTTAAAGTTTTCTTCACGTAGATTTTTATATTTTTTTTTTGGCAGTAACAAATGGTCTCCAAATCTCAGTGGCTTGTGACAGGGAAGGTGTATTTCTCCAGTGTGTTGGGTGCTGCTCGTGTGGGTCAGCAGCCCTGCGTCTGCTTCATGTGTCCTGTCATTCTAGGGACAGGGTTGGAAGAGCAACCCCTGACTGGGACATGCCTTTTCATGACCAAGTGTAGGAGCCAGAGAGGGCTGTTGGAAACGTAATGGCTCATAAACCTTTTGCTCAGAATCCATTGGCCAAAGCAAGTCACGTGGCCAAGCCCAGCATGGGTGGGCTGGGGATGCATGTACTCATCCCATAAGAGGTCCTCCAGGTCACATGGCAAGGGGCAGGGAGGCTCGGGTAGCTTGAATAACAGAATCTTGTTATAAAAATCCAGGGAATATAGACTGTATTAATGTAGAAAGGAAAAAAGTAGTTCTGTCTCACTAGTCCCCTTAGAGCCCACTAGCCAGAGACGGCTTCTGTTAACAGTTGACTTTTCCGTCTTTAGTCCTTGTTCTATGAACATACAAATGTACGTGCACCGATATGAATACCTGTAAATATTTGTATATATACATGCAATTCCTTTTGTAAAAATTGGATGATCCTACCATGATACCATGATTTTGCTCTTTTTTTTTTTTTTTGACCTAATGTATTTGAACATCTTTTGTGGCAAGAAACCTAAAGCTACCTCATTCTTTCTATGAGTTGCCTCATTTTCCTTTGAGTAGATGAATCATAACTTAACTTAGCGCACCTCCTAATGTTGGGCCTTTAGCTCAGCCACTTAATTATCACAAGCCACGCTGCAGCGGAGGTCACTACGTGGACCACACTGCCCCGTGTGAGCCTTACCATGCAGTCGGTGGAGCAAACTTTAGACAGATGTGAGCTGGTCCATAATTCTCTGCCCGCTCTTCTTGGTCACCTCCACGTTCACCACCGACTCAGGTCCAAAAGGGGTGATAAATGACTGGCGCCGCTTCAAACAGCTAGAGACGGAGCAAAGGGAGGAGCAGTGCCGGGAGATGGAACGGCTGATCAAGAAGCTGTCAATGACCTGCACGTCCCATCTGGATGAAGAGGAGGAGCAGCACAGACAGAAGGAGCTCCAGGAGAAGATCGGTGGGAAGGTAATTAGCAGTCGTGCCACCCCAACCCTCCCAGGCCTCTCTGAGAAGTGCTCCTGGCTGTTGGAACTGGCGTCAGTGATCCCAGAGGTGCAGGGTGTTTGATTTGACCCCCACAGAGCTGTGCAGAGTGAGGGGGAAAGTAGAGTCACGTCCTAACTCAGACGCACTGGAGTTTGAACCTCAGCTCTGGTACTGGAGATGGTGGGGATGTATCTTCTGTTCTGAGTCCTGTTTGTCAGGGGCCTGGTGAGGTCAGTTTCTCAACCTCACAGTGCTCTCTGGGTACAAAGCCAGTGCCTGGGTACAAAGCCAGCCAGCCCATCGAAAGTGCTCAGTAAACGTGTGTTTTCTGTTCTTTATCGAAGTCTTACCTTGGGCCAGAAATAATTCTCTGAAATTGGTGGTTTTATCCCCATTTTACAGACGATAAAACCAGTACTTTGAGAGGAGAGGGTACTTGGCTCAGGGCATCCAACTAGTAAATGCTAATAGGCACTGGGATTCTCACCCTGATTTTATTTTGCTCTTTCCATGATGCTGCTCTCTTCCACCTGAAGCCTATTCATGAGAATTTACTCTTAACAAGGCAATATCATAGAAGCGAATGGACACTCTGAAGGATATTTGGAAATAGGCCCCTGACCCTCTCTTACCTGCCCTGTATCCAAAGAACCCTTTAATTCCCCTTCCACCTGCCCTCTTGAACGTGGATGAATGTCAAGGGGTGCCTGAGATCATTTGGCTGTAGGCCAGAGCAGCTCTTGGCTGGGAATGCCGGCCAGGATCAGGGAGCAGATAAGAGGATTAAGTGAGCAGTCATTCGCCTGGAGGAGTTCAGGGCATTAGACTTTCTGCCCATAATGGCTCAGAGCCGCTCTGGTGGGCGCTCTGGTGGGCCGAGCTAGACTGGAGAGCTGGGAAGGAGGATGGTGCTGTGCTGGCCGTGATGCAGAAATGTCCGTGATGATCTACTGTGGTCCCTGGCCTCCGCCCTCTGATCGGTGCCAGACTGAGCAGAGGTATAGGCTTTGTTCCGGGTGCAGGGATGTGTTGCCGCACCAGGCCCGGAGAAGGAAGACAACTTTTGTAACTCAAGCTGGAGGTTAGAGCAGATGAAGCAACACGTCACATGACCACATGGGGCCACTGAGAGACGCTCTGTCCCTGTCCCCTGGGTTGTGTACCGCAGAGCAGAGCTGGAAACCATCTCAGTGCCAGAAAAAGGAAGTCAAGCAAAATATGGCACATTCTGTGTGATTCTGTAAAAAATATTAAGAAGCAGGAGGAAATATTTGTGATGTAATAATGTCAAGGGGCAAGAGCAGATTATAGCTTAATTGGTGGTACACCCACAACTGCTGTTAAAAAAGCAGAAAGGATGTCAGCATGTGCCTAGTAATAAAAAGCAAAATACAGTGTTAGAAAGTGTGACTGTGTTTTTTGTATATGTGTTGGGGGGGTGGCACAGAGCAAGAATTACGAGTGTTCTTTTTAAAATTCCTTAATATCCTGTTGTCTTTTCAACAAAAATGAAACAGTAGATAAAATAACCCACTGTCGAGACTGACCACAAGAAACAAGCTCATGAAGTGATATTAACTGATGCCTATTTGGGGAAGAGGCATTATAATACAGTAGTTGAAAGATTTTTTCTTAAAAGTTTATTCATTTTTGAGAGAGAGAGAGAGAGAGAGAGAGAGAAAATCTTAAGCAGGCCCCATGCCATCAGCACAGAGTCCCATGTGTAGCTCAAACCCATGAACTGTGAGATCATGACCTGAGCCGAAACCGAAAGTCAGACACTTAACCAATTGAGCCACCCAGGAGCCCCCAAAAGACTAGATTTTTTAAAAATCTAGTTTGAATTCTGCTCTTGTACATATGTGAACTGGTGCAGATAATCTCAAGTCTTTGAATCTTAATGGTAAGATGGGGGCAATAAAAATTCCCTCCCAATGGGTTTTTCATCAGAATTCTGTGAGCTTTAATGCATACAGAGCACCCAGCATGGTACCTCACATACCATAAACATGTGGCACATGTTAACTATTTATTTTTTTTAGGTTTTATTTATGTTGAGGGAAAGCACATGCACAAGTCAGGGAGGAAGAGGGAATCCCAAGCAAGCTTCACACTGTCAGCACAGAGGCCCATGGGGGGCTCGAACTTACAAACCATGAGATCATGACCTGAGTTGAAGTCAGTTGCTTAACCAGCTGAGCCACCCACCCACGTGCCCAGTGCATAACTGTTATCACAAAGGTCAGCTTGTGTTTCTTCTGCTCACTTGCTCGTCGTCCTGCAGATGACCCTGAAGGAGTTCGCCATGATGAATGAGGACCAAGATGACGAGGACTTTCTACAGCAGTACCGGAAGCAGAGGATGGAAGAGATGCGGCAGCAGCTTCACAAAGGGCCCCAGTTCAAGCAGGTGTTTGACATCCCCAGTGGAGAAGGGTTTTTAGATGTGATTGATAAAGAACAGAAAAGCACCCTCATCATGGTCCATATTTATGAGGACGGCATTCCGGGGACCGAAGCCATGAACGGCTGCATGATTTGCCTCGCTGCCGAGTACCCAGCTGTCAAATTCTGCCGGGTGAAGAGCTCAGTTATTGGGGCCAGCAGTCGCTTCACCAGGAACGCCCTTCCGGCCCTGCTGATCTACAAGGGGGGTGAATTGATTGGCAATTTTGTTCGTGTCACTGACCAGTTGGGGGAAGATTTCTTTGCTGTGGACCTTGAGGCTTTTCTACAGGAATTTGGATTGCTCCCAGAAAAAGAAGTCTTGGTGCTCACATCCGTGCATAACTCTGCCACCTGTCACAGTGAGGACAGTGATTTGGAAATAGACTGAACTGATAGTCTAGCCGCATAGATTTCTCCTTGTTTGGGCTGCAAGACAACATGGCTGTGTATTTATTTTTGTTCCTTCCCAGTGTTATGTGGCTTTTCAGCTGTTCTTTGTAGTCTCTGTTATTTTATGTAAAGTCAAGAACTTAGATTAAATTGGAATGCTAAATCACCTTGTGGCTAGCAGTACAAAGCGACTTTAAATTGTATAAACAGGAAGCCAGGCTTTTGAACTGTTTACTTAAGAGTCTGTAGCATGACATCTCTGTTACTGTTTCTAGTCAATATTTACATAACATCCGAAGGACAGTGTCCTGGAAATTGTCTTCAGATGATCTCAGGGGTCTCTGCCAGGCCTGGGAGTATAATTCTATAGTTAGTGTGTTATTCGCAACATAAATAGTATGTCTCCTTCATCAGTGGTTATAAATTGTATTTACTTGTAATCAGATGTTCTCTACCAGGGTCTTGTTTAAAGGTTCCATACAATGGATGTTTGCCGCACCAAGAGGGGTGACCTTTGTTTTGGGAGCCAGTGTCCTGCTGAGGCATTATTCAGTCTTAAATAGGAGGAAGCATTGAGGCTGACTGCTCTCTTGATGCTGAAAGGCCAGCTTGATTTAAAAAAAAAAGTCAAGTCTGGCTTGGAGCTGGAAAGCCTTTTGAAATTGGAGGATCTTCCAATAAGATACTCCTGCTCATTTCTTTGTCCCTCTCTTATTTAACAATGTAACTTTTTTGTTTAATGTAGCTTTTTTAAAAAGCCTCTCTCTCTCTCTCTCTCTCTCTCTCTCTCTCTCTTTGGCATATTGGAAAAGTAATATTTAACAGAAGAAAATTTGCCAAAATACAGAAGTGAAAATAAGATAGTTAGAATAATGTCCCATCCTACGGTCCATGGCAAAACACTATTAATATTTTGGCATATTTCCTTCCAACGTATTTTCTCTGTATACATAGACATTTTGCTTGTTTGTTTTTAAACAAAACAATGGGATCATTCTGACATACTGTTTTATAGTATGGTCAGCTGATATATGTCAAACTTTCTTTCATGTTATTAATAGTCTATCACAGTTTAAAACTGGCTCTTGATATTCCACTGTGTAGATGTGCCGTGATTGGCTTGATGGTTGTCTCTTGAAAAACAGCAGAGATTTTTTACTACAGAAGTCGAAGGTGTCCATTGTAGAAAATGTAATAAAAATTGTTAAGTGAAAAAGAGATTTTACAAGTCCTATAATTCTGCCAACCAGAAATGATCCCCATTATCATTTTTATAGGACTCTTTCTAGTCTTTTTTTTCTACTTGTATTTATAATAATGATTATCATTTGAGTGTTTTCCTCTTTTTTTATGTAAAACGGTGTACATTATAACGGTGTCAGGAAAAATGTAATCTGGAATTAAAAGATTAGCTTTAGACTTCAGTTTTGCTTTTCTTGCTTATTCAGGAATTGACTAACCGTAGAAGGGTCTCGCAAATATCTGTTGTAGATAATCAGCAAGAAGAAAGTGCATGGTTTTTCTGATTTAAAAAACTCATTGTAGAAAGTATAGAAGAGGCAGAAATTAACTGTTGTCAATGTTCTTGTTTATTTCCTTCAGTCTTTTTTCAGTATTTCTGATAACATCAAGAACTTATAGGATTTAGTTCCATGTTCTATTTTATTTAATATGCTGTAAATACTTTGACACATTCTAAAAATTCTAAATAAATACTTTTTAATGCCTTCATAATATCCCATCATTTGGATATACCATGATTTATTTAGCCAGTTCCTTACTATTGGGTATTTAGAGTCTCAGTTTTTCACTGAAACACTTAGCGTCTTTTGGGCCGTATTTTGGATAGGTCTCTTAGTATAGATTTCTAGAAAAGGAATTCTTGGGTGGATGGACAGAAATTATTTGTAGAAACTATCTGTAAAATAATTTTTAGAAACCATCTCTTGTTCCTGTTGGAAATGAAAATACTCACAGAACCTTAACTTTGCCTTTCGGGAACAGATTCCAGAATCAAATGAACAGACATGGAATGGGGAAATCCTTGAGTATTAAATCTCTTACTCAGGTGTAGTGGCAACAGCATGGGTTTGGGAGTCCAGAAAGAGCTGGGTTGGAATCCTGTCACTCACTAGGGTAGCTGCTGGTGAGGTGCCCAGCCCCGGAGAAGCTCAATTTCCTCACCTCCGCAGTGACAACAATGCCCGCCTCGCTTCTGTGAAGTGGTTCCTGGCCTCTGGTCCCAGAGCAGGGGCAGCAGCTTCCCTGGGAAAGTCGTTTGAGATGCAGATGCCTTTCATGCCCTCCAGGTGATTCTGAGGCGCCTGCAAGCCTGGGAATCACTGCTGTGAGGATCAAGGTGAGTGACAGCAGCTATCACAAAACTGGCTTATGTTCTCGAGTAAGGGAGGGAAGGAGTTGACAGCGAAAGCTCTGATGTCCACCCGTTAATGTGATTCCCCTTGTTAGCCATGGAATTGAGAAAAGGAAAGAAACTGCTACCTCTCTCCTAAACTATGTCCCTGTAGTATTCTAGATTTCATTTTTCCTCCAGAACCAGAGTCCTATGAAGGCATAGACTGTTTTCCTCCCTGTGCGTGGCATAACTACCGTTCGCTCCAGGGATGATGGGCTAACATTTACTAGCTTTGTGGACAAGATGCTGAACCCCTCTGTACCTCAGTTTCTTCATCTGTGAAATGGGAATGAGTAACATGAATCAATCCATATAAAATATTTAGAACACAGCCTTCCTTCGAATAAGTGTTTCTATCATCCCCAGTGCCCACTGCTGTGCCTGACTCTTGGTAATGAGCAATAAACATCAGTCATGAACGCATGGGCCCACTGAATGCCAGCAGCCTTTCAAGGCAGGAAATAAATAGTAACTTTTCAGACGTGAAGAAACCAAGACAAGCAGGGTTAAGGGACTATACCAGCTTGTGAACAGAGCAGGGTTTAAAATCAGGTCTATGTAAGTTCCAGAATATTCACCATTTCCATGATGTCATGTTAGTCTGGGTGGAGAACGCAAATGATTGAGTGACAATAAAATCAATCAGTTTAAAAAAGAAAAAGTGTAGAGAAGAAAATAGTTGGAGGAAGAAAATAAGGGGATTTATTCATTTATTTTTAAATTATTTTATTTTATTTTTTATTTAAAAAAAATTTTTTTTTAATGTTTTATTTATTTCTAGGAGAGAGAGAGAGACAGCATGAGCAGGGGAGGGTCAGAGAGAGAGGGAGTAACAGACTGAAACAGGCTCCAGGCTCTGAGCTGGCAGTCAGCACAGAGCCCGACGCGGGGCCCGAACCCACGAACCGCGAGATCATGACCTGAGAGAAAGTCGGACGATTAACCGACTAAGCCACCCGGGCGCCCCTAAAAAAATTTTTTTAACATTTATTTATTATTGAGAAACAGAGAGGGACAGAGCATGAGCAGGGGAGGGGCAGAAAGAAGAGGAGACACAGAATCCGAAGCAGGCTCCCATCTCCAGGCTGTCAGCCCAGAGCCCGACATGGGGCTCGAGCCCACAAACCGTGAGATCATGACCTGAGCCGAAGTCGGACACTTAACTGGCTGAGCCACCCTGGCGCCCCTTAAATCATTTTTTTAATGTTTATTTTTGAGAGAGAGAAACGACATGAGCAGGGGAGCGGCAGAGAGAGAGGGGGAGACACAGAATCCCAAGCAGACTCTAGGCTCTGTCTGAGCTGTCAGCACAGGACCCGATGCGGGGCTCAAAGCTACAAACCACCCTTGAGATCATGACCTGAGCCAAAGGCTGACACTCAACCATCTGAGCCACCCAGGTGCCCCTTCCGTGCCTCTGAAGAGTGGAGGCCAGTTGTCGTACAGAATGCCCCACACTCTGATTTCTCCAATTATTTCCTTTTTTTTTTTTTTTGATAATAATGTGACCAGAGGTAATGTTACATGGTCTTACTGGATCAAGTCAGGGAATACGTGTTAACAGCTCAGTGACCCTAGGTTTAATCACTTGGTCAAGGTGGTCAATGCCAGATCTCCATACTGTAAAGTTATTTCCCTCCTCATGAGTCGTAAGTAAATCTATGATGTGATACTTTGAGACCGTGTGAGTATCTCTTTCCGAACAACTATCTGAGGGCTTTAACATCTGTTGATGATCCTTGCCTGAGTCAAGTTATTACACTGGAGTTTGTTGAAAGGTGATTTTCTAATTCTGTCTTTTCTTTTGCATTTATTACCTGGCAGTCTTGAACAAAACAGAACTCTCCCTCCCCCAGCCACCCCCCCACCCCTGGCCGAGGATTGCTATGAACTTACAGAGTTGTTGGGTTTTTTTGATGTTTTTATTTATTTCTGAGAGAGAGAGAGCGTGAGCAGGGGAGGGTCAGAGAGAGAGGGAGACACAGAATCTGAAGCAGGCTCCAGGCTCTGAGCTGTCAGCACAGAGCCCCACATGGGGCTCAAACACACAAACCATGAGATCAAGACCTGAGCAAAAGTCAGACACCCAACCAACTAAGCCACCCAGGCGCCCCAGAGTTTTAAAAGTTCACTGTCTGTTGGGGCACCCGGGTGGCTTAGTCGGTTAAGCGTCCGATTTTCGCTCAGGTCATGACCTCGCGGTTTGTGGGTTCGAGCCCCGCGTCAGGCTCTGTGCTGACTGCCAGCTCAGAGCCTGGAGCCTGTTTCAAAGTCTGTCACTCCCTCTCTCTCTGACCCTCCCCTGCTCATGCTGTCTCTCTCTCTCCTAGAAATAAATAAAATATTTAAAAAAAAAATAAAAAAAATAAAAGTTCACTGTCTGCTGTCATTCTTTCTGGGGCTTTGGTAGCCTTTGTAAGCCAATTCCCGTCTCCTTTTGAGATGAACCATTAGTCTTTGAGTATTTATCTTCTTTCTGGCCTAAGATGTTCCAGAATCACATGGAACTTTCTCTGCTAAGGCCTTAGAATTAGTCATTTTCCAAGAGGCTCTGGTTCCTCTTATGGAGAATGACATTTAGAACTAAAATCCAGGTGCTATGTGCTCATTGCTGGTGGGATGCCATTAGATCCTTTCAGTGGACAGAGGAAAAATAGAGATTTCTAAACTTTATGAGTTCGTATAGATACTTCAGTGGAATCACAACTCCCAGCATCCATGTATTTATTAATTTTTATCATCGTATAATACACACTAAATAGCGTCATAATTATGCCTATGCCACTAACAAAAGCAGCCCTAAATAAAAATTTCAAGATTTCTTTGCAGTCCTTTTTCTTCTTCTTCTCTGCTTCCTCTTCCTCTTCTTCCTTCCTCTCCTTCCTCTCCTTCCTCTCTCTCCATTTCCTTCTCCTCCTCTTCCTCCTTTTCTTCCTCCTCACCTTTTTTTTTTCATTCTTAGAGCGTATTCTGCTAAGGACGTACAGAGTATTGAATTTAAAAAGTCATTTGATTTATTTTTTTCCTAGGTGGTTATGTTATCAACTTGGTATAGAAATAGATTTATTTGTGTGAATAACTGCCTTTCAAATCCAAAGATACCACAAGTTACATAGAAAGTGCTAAAAATAAATTAATTGTTAAATAGCTTTATGGGGATCTTAAAATAGATGGCAAATGGCAAAAAAGAATTAGATTCATTTGTTTCTGCAGGATTCCATTTTAGGACTTGCTTTTTTCATCCTTTTTGATTTAACTGTTT